CGGCGAATGAAGTTTGCGATGTTGTCGTGGTGGTCAGTTTTCGATTCCTTGGACCGCAAAAGACATTCAGAAGGTCGAATCTTCTGATATAACTGACTTTCTGTGATGGTCAATTGCCTTGCCAGTTCCAAGGCATCGATGTCAAGTAGCTCCATCCGTTTAGGGACTATTGGCGGAGGTGGCGGATCTAGAGCCGTGCTAATCGTCACTTTGTTCGGATCACGCCCTCGCTGCTATTCCATAATTCAGATAGTACAACCCCGACGTTGATCCAGCACGTACAGCACGTTTAATAATCACCATAATCTGCTTTGCTGCGGGTAGATTGATGACTTCATCATGCGAAACAAATTCCATCATACGGTCGAGGATGTATGCGTCGTCTCTCTCCAACACATCGTCATCTTGAACCATTGACTTAATAGTATTAATGACCCTAAAATAGTTCAGCTACAAGGTCTGAAACAATGACGTGACTGACCTGATACGAATAATCTGCCGCTTGAGCTTCTGCCACTCCACCAGCTCCGGGGAGTTTAGTCCTTCTGGAGGCTGTATCCAGAAGCGTTCCACCAACAACCTAAACAATTCATCAAGAGTAGTGAAGGTCTTGTAAGTCATCAGGAAAGCCTTGCTAAACTTGGGATCTATAATCTGGATTCAAGAGAAATGGTGATATACTGGCGGAATCTCACATACCAGCATACTCGTGAGCGGTTAGCCGCTCAACTAGGCCTGCAACGGTTCCGCCTCGCGTAGTTCCATCGGGGTCGACTAGGACATCATTAGGATTGTACGTCGGTCTCAGATACCAAGGTTTTGTTTCGGCATTAAGGGTAATGAGATAGTGAGAAGGCGCATCATCACCAAAAAACGCCCTGATCTTATCCTGTCGAGGAGGTGTTCTTATTATGCGGAGATCTGTGCTTCGAGTCAAATTATGCCAATAGTTATGAAACAGATTAATACTAGCCTTCATAGTCAGCCCATGGTACTGTATCGGATATTAGGGGTGGTTGTCCGTTTATTACAGGCGGACCCGGTATTTCTGCTGTAGGCGTAGTATTATCGCTACTTGCAATATTCCTGAGGATATCATTTGCTTCGTCATCGTTCGTATTGTAGAGGTCGTTATTCGTGCCGTTAAGTGCCTCTTCGGCCAACATTGCTGTGATGAGGCTACGTTGTGACATACGCCACTCAATGGGGCTCTTGTTGCTCCGTTCAAGAATATCTGTCTGTTCCTGCACGATGACAAGAAGACTTTCTAGAGTCTGTCGCAGAACCTGAAGATTAAAGTCTAATGAGGAGTTCAGCGCCTCGAGGGTATCATAATGTTCGTCCCGACCACGCCATGTTTCGGATTCTTCTACATGCCGGATCCTCTGGGTAGTAGTGAGTAGTGCAGCGCCGTCATCGTATACAGCCTGAGTAGAGGCTTCGAACGACCGTACGAGGACCCTGGCTTTCTCAACGGTCCGGATATATCGAGCACCATCGCTGAGTTCCGCCTGATCCACCGGTTCGATGTCGACATGCCGAGCGACATGCAGGTCGCCAATGTGGAGAAGGAGGGATGACAATTGATTCATCATTCCTAAGCCTGCTGGCGTTACCACGCCGGCTGCGAGAGCTGATTTTCAACCGAAGAACGCAAACTTGCAGGATTTTGCTCACCAGGTGCAGAAGCGCGTAAGCTTTCAACGAATTCATTTGATTTGTCTTGTACCTGCAATACAAGCCCCACGATGTCGTTTAAGACTGCGCTGTCCAAGCTCCGCCGGGGAGCCTCCTCATTGCCATCGATGGTAACCCAACCAAATCCTTTCCAAGCTCCAGCAGCCCCAGCCCCAGCCTTCCCAAGTCCTGCATGTGGTGCTGAGAAGTAACCCTGTAAGTGTCTCGGAGCCTTGTCGCAATCCAACTCATCACAACGACAACTTTGTGTGATGGACACGAAATCGACAACAGAGCGCTCAAGTTCTGTGGCATCCGTTGCAAGGTTGCCGATGCTGTCACCTGGGCTCCAAGGACCGTCATTCAAGATCGCTCTCGCAGAGAGTAGAAACTTCGAGAGTGTCGCAATAGCTCGACGCTGTGCAGGAACAAGTAACGTATGCGACGCAGTGCTCGTGCTCTGTTGATCTGTTGATCCTTTCGGAACAAGATGACTTGGTATTTGACCGAAAGAAGGGCCAGATACGTAGAGTAAATCACGAACTGAAGCGATAGTGGTGCTGATGAGGCGATCGACAATGACTTCATCATCTGCAATGCGAGGGATTCCAAACTGCTGCAGGTGAGTGATCACAGAGCGAATAGCATGTTGAGACCGATCTAGCAATTCAGAAATGAGCTCTGGTGGACGAGGAGAAAGTACTTCCTCCAGAGATGGTATTACAGTCAAGAGGTGAGAAGAATCTTCGTCTGGCGGAAGTTCATGGACTTGGGGGAGTATGGATAATGCGGCAGCTTCCTTTAATCGAGAGCCCTTTCTAGCCATATGCGGACGGTGAGAGTACGAGAAGAGACGAGGACCTTGATCCATAGACAAAAATATCTGAGGACTAGTATATGAGTTCTCCCGCGTAGTAAGACTCCTCTTTAGTACTTGGTCATTCGGCGGACTAGAGAGACCACTGGGAACGCGGTACGTGTGACGATTCAAAGAAAGCGCAGAAGAGTCTGTCTGGGCACGGTTGCGGCCTGGTGGAAGGTCTGTGAGAAGGGATGGCGAAGATGGTTTTACGGGAGCCGTCAGAGCACCAGCTAGGTTATTTGGGTAATGAGATAATGACGTGTAGGGTGGCCGGGCGGGCTCCACTGGAATCGACTGGTATTGAGAAGGATTGTTCACGATGGATAGAGCGTTGACATCCCCATAAGAAAAACCTAGACCTGCGCCGGTGCCAGCACGAGAGCTCGATTGTGATGAAGTTAAGCCCGCAAGATCACAATCAAACGTCTCATCCTCCGCGTCGAACGGTAGATCACGAGATAGTTGCCCGGTGACTGTGTTGGCATAGTAAATCTACATACAAAAAGAGTAGTCACCTGAAACTGAGCACTGAAGACAAGAAAAGCCATACCTGACCATCTCCGGAGACTTGGGGTATCCAGAAGTCTCTTGCAATTGAAGGGGGAGTGTCCGGCCTGAGTGGACTTGTTGGGATTGCGGGAAGTTCCCTCATGCTCATCCGTGCTGCCTTGGAGACTTCGGGAAGGCGCCAAATTGATGAACTCTCCATGATAGAAGCCAGAAAAGATCGATCACGGATAATATCAAAGGTGAATTGACGAGGTATTCACATCTAACTTAAATGTTTGCATTGCCCTTACCATCCGTGAGCAAGATGATTATCCATGTTGCACGACGCCGCGGCATGAATTATTGAGCCCCCGGATCAGCAGTGCCTTCATCAGGAAGGCAGTTACATGCGCACGCTGCATCGCAACGATCGGCCTTTCAAGCTCAAGCTCAGTGCAAATCAAATATCCTTGCTTACAACTCAGTCTACATGCATGACAGTAGTCATTGCTCGAGGTCCATCAACATCAACAGTTAACACCTATTCAGAAAACAAAAAAATCTTGACCCGGGGTATTGATAAAAACGAATCGTAAAAAGCATGTCCAGACGGTACACAAAGGATAAATGCTGTATACTGCCATCAGAAGGTGCAGGCCAGCCCGTGACGAGAAGTAATTACTTGTGAAAAGGATCGTGGGCTCTAACAAATGGCGGCCTCCGCGATCACAAACTCACCACAGCCAAAACTATACAAACAACTTCAAACCGAACGGGTGTTCAAAATTGCGTATTGCTGTGACCACAACACCCTGAGTAGCTGGGAGAATGCTTCCTCTTCACCAGTTCATACTGCTCTCTTGCAGAATGGGAGCGGAAATAGCTCCAGGGTTGAGGTGACGGCGTTCCCTCATGACGGGAGGAGAGACACGGCGCTCATAGCCATCATCATCACCACCCCGGACACCTTGGTATCCACGTAAGCTGTCTTCTGCGTAGTAAAAGCTCCGCCTCCGCTGGCCGCCGATACTGTCCCGATCAAAATCCTGACCATCAGGGCGTACACCTGCAGGATCACCGACGTTTTCAGAGAGACGGCGATGTGCGACCTCTTGTCGGCGCTTGAAGTACCGATAAGCGACGATTGCAAGGATGATGAGCGCGATGGCACCAAGCGACGTTACGACACCGATAATCGCGTCCTCGCGGACTTGGGAAGAACTTGAACTACTGCTGGTGCCGCTGCCGCCAGGAGTGGGACCTGATATGGACGACAGTGCAAGAGTGGGATCAACACATTGGGCGAGCGATGCGGGTATACTGCCTTCTTGTCCGGCATAGAACGAGGACTTTTTGTTGGAGATAAGCGAAGCGAGTGTGGAGACTTGGTCATTAGGGATATAACCCTGCCAGAGGGTACTTAGCAGTTCGACGTCTTGAATGCCGGTGTACGATGAGGGTTCGTAGACGAGCAGCTCGTAGCTTTGTACCTGGGAAGCTGGAATACAGTTTCAGTACGAATGCACTTTGCGATGTTGGGAGCACGTACAATCAATTCCAAGTGCTGTTGCAATTATCGAGGGGAAGTACTCAAATATCTGTCCTTGGGTATCCGAATTCGTTGCAACCCACTTCCAGTTAAGGGACTGATTGAACAGCACGCTGATCAGAGTGTCAGTAGTTGGCACATTTTGGACATTGAGCGTAGGCTGTGGCATAATAGCCGATGGGAGATACGTCGGAATCGGTGCTGCAGAAGGCTGACTGGCCGGCGGAGCGGATGCAAGCGAGACCGTCGTCGTTGGGATGTCAGGATTTGAAATGGTTGGGGAGGCTGTTGGTGTGGGCGTGGCGGTATTGACCAGCAGAGATGAGACCGTAGACAGGTACTGGTAGTTGGTATTCGTGGTGGGAAGTATATAGGTACTTGGCAATGATAACGTGGATGTCTCATTAAGGGTGCCAGTGCTGCTCATGGTCGTACTATTTGGAAAGTTGATGATAGTCGATGAAGTAGATGCTGTGGACATGCCATTGCTCGAACTCGTGCCAATCGTAGTAGCAGTAGTAGTAGTCCTGCAACGGAGTATGATCAAACAGTCTCAAGCACGATAGGATTGAAATTTACACTGTACCAGACGTGGATGATGGAGTGCAACCAATTCCGAGACCCAGGGCCCCAGTGCAATCAGCGGTCGTCGACGAAGATGACGATACTGAGGTAGAAGCAACCGAAGTGGTGATAGGAGTACCAGAAGTTACAGGCGAAGTCAAAGGTAGCTGGCTTGAAGTAGTAGACGATGAGGTGGGAAGGGGACAACCAATGCCAATGCCAAGTAACCCATCACACGACGACGACGGCGTGGTGGAAGCAACCGAATTAGTGGTAGGATAAGCAGAAGTCACAGGCGGGCTTGAAGTTGGCTGGCTTAAAGCGGTAGATGTTGAAGTGGGAGGTGGGCAACCAAGGCCAAGGCCAAGTAGCCCATCACACGACGACGACGGCGTGGTGGAAGCGACCGAACCAGTGGTAGGATAAGTAGGTGTTACGGACGGGCTTGAAGCTGGTTGGCTTGAAGTGGTAGATGTCGAAGTGGGAGGTGGACAACCAAGGCCAAGGCCTAGTAATCCATCACAAGACGTTGTGGCGGGAGCTGCCGAACTCAGGACAGCAGAACTTACAGGCAGGCTTGAAGTTGGTTGGCTCGAAGCGGGAAATGATGAGGGAGCTGAACAACCAATCCCCAAACCAAGTAATCCATCACAAGACGTTGTGGCGGGAGCTGCTGAACTCAAGACAGCAGAACTTACAGGCGCGCTTGAGACTGGTTGGGTCGAAGTAGGAGATGAAGAGGGAGGTGGGCAGCCAAGACCAAGACCAAGAAGTCCATCACAAGACGACGTTGTGGCGGGAGCTGCCGAGCTCAAGACAGCAGAACCAGTACTTACAGGCGCGCTTGAGACTGGTTGGGTCGAAGTGGGAGATGAAGAGGGAGATGAGCAACCAATCCCCAGACCAAGAAGTCCATCGCAAGATGACGTTGTAGCGGGAGCCGCCGAACTGGTGGCAACTGAACCAGAACTTGCAAGCGTGCTCAAAGCTGGTTGGCTCGAAATGGGAGATGACGAGGGAGGTGAGCAACCAATCCCCAAACCAAGCAGTCCATTACAAGATGATGTTGCAGCAGGAGCCGCCGAACTGGTGGCAACTGAACCAGAACTTGCAAGCGTGCTCGAAGCTGGCTGGCTCGAAGTGAGAGATGACGAGGGAGGTGAGCAACCAATCCCCAAACCAAGCAGTCCATTACAAGATGATGTTGCAGCAGGAGCCGCCGAACTGGTGGCAACAGAACCAGAACTTGCAGGCGTGCTCGAAGCTGGTTGGCTCGAAGTGGGAGATGACGAGGGAGATGAGCAACCAACCCCCAAACCAAGGAGTCCGTCGCAGGATGACGTTGTGGTAGATGATGGGTTGGAGTTGGATGATGCAGCAGTCCCGGTAGAAATTGATGTTGGCGAGCTAGATGGGGTAGTCATGGGTGGATCACAACCTAGCCCCAAGAGCCCAATGCATGATGAGCTGGTCGGTGATGCAGATGCTGAGGGGCTAGAGCTTGTAGTAAGCGTGCCAGTGCCTGGGGACGAGACTGTCGGACTGCTGGACGCAGAGGGCGTTGGGGCATTGATAGCAAGTCCACTTCCCATTCCACTCAATATGCCATCTGAGAACCAGCTCATTAGAACATTACCCAAACTAAATAACGACAGAAAACGCGCACCAAGACCACCTAAAATGTCATCAGGAGCTCTGTTCTTGAATGCCAAAGATCGCCTTGCGTGAGAGTTGGAGGATGATGAGTGTCGTGCATCGACCTGGGGAACGACGAGGGAGGAAACCACAGTTGCAAGGAAAAAATAGATAACAGAATACATAGAGGTGATAGAATATTGCTGGATAGCAAGGACAGCGCGACTTTGGGTCCGCTAGGGATAGAACGAGTGTGCGTTTCTGCTCTCTCTAAGAGAGTGAAAAGTAGGTTCTAAGATATTTTGAAACACGAAGATTCTTGAATCCTGGAAGCCAGTTGGCCGATAATTGACAAGACGTCGCCGGCAGCGTCACAGGAGCAGCAAAATTTGAAACCAAAAACGAGGGGAGGAACAAGACAGAAACGTTCTAATAGCGCGCACGGGCGCAGGTTTCCTACCAAATCGCGATCACACGGTAACTAACAACAAATGATCTCAGTTACAGAAACGTTTTTAGCTTTCCAAAAAGGCAGTCCACGGTCATCTACGTAGCACTGGCAACTTAACAGATTTTGTGACTACGATTCGAAACGACATCACAACTAGGGGAAAAATCTTCAAGGTGCATATAATTGAGTAGTATGACAATACACAACGAAATGGTAGAAAATGCAACAACAGACTTAGATGAATCCGATCTAAAGTATAGTTAATAACAACATTGACAGCATGTTAGCAGTGAATCACCTTGTTTGCAACATCCAACGCGTCGTGGTCGGACGTGAGCCGAACGTATGCCTTCTTCTTCCCATCAGGTCTAAGGGTAATCAGGTCGTGTGTAATCTTAAAGCTCATTGCACGGAGACGAACCGGATCAGGGTGTTGATTTTAGCAGCCTGAACATCGTAAAGTTTTTTCACGGCGTCCTTGATTTGTCGCTTATTCGACTTTATGTCAACAATAAAGACGAGGGTATTGTGCTCCTCGATCTTCTTCATCGCCGATTCCGTGTTCAGTGGACTGTCATTAAACGATCAAAAATTAATTTGTGTTATATAGCATAAAACGCACGAGACGATGGTTCGGAACTGGTCCATTCGTGGTGCATGGGGGATAGATTTGCGAGGGTACTTGGGATTCCTGGGTAGGCGGAGTGTCTTGGGACGGTGGAATGTTACAGAGTATCGCTGCTTCCGTGTTGAATGCGAGTGCACGCCCTGCAAAGCAGCCTTTTTGGCAGCCTTCGCTTTGACATTAGTAGGGGCCATATTGATTTTGGAGTTATTCTGCCCGTCGCCTGTATTACTAGGAGGCCGATGATCAGGTAAATCGCTAATCCCCGAACTACTATACAGTTGAAATGGGAATATCCCGGAATATATTACCCGGTCACATATGTCACAGCATCAGGTGATATGTGACAAGCAATTGTACCAGTACCACGTGTCACACGCGCCAACTACGCGTCTACCAGATACTTATTACTATTACTATACAGCACGCGTTGAGTACGCGCCAGCTTTGATGTATATTAAGACCTTGACAATTCAGGGATTTAAGTCTTGTAAGTTTGACCATTCTTTATCCCGCGATATCTCACTTTGCGCACTGTTTATACCAGACCGTGATCAGACACAGATAGAGCCCTTCTCTCCTCGTCATAATGTCGTCGTAGGTAGGAATGGCTCAGGCAAGAGCAATTTTTTTGCAGGTGCCCGTTGTACCTCTGAACTATTTCTCTCCATCTTACTCATACACCCCCCTAGCCATTCGCTTTGTATTGTCCGATGCATATACCTCTATGTCCAGAGAGGAGCGGCAGGCTCTCCTGCACGAAGGTGTTTCTGTCACGACTACACTATCTGCATACGGTACAATTTTTTCTTCTTTTAACCCTCTATCACCCTTTCTCATACTTGCAACCAGTTGAAATTGTTTTTGACAACTCTGACAATCGATTTCCAACTGGTCGTGAAGAAGTCATTCTAAGACGCACCATCGGTCTCAAGAAGGATGAATACAGTCTTGACAAGAAAAGCGCTAGCAAAGCTGATGTCATGAATCTCCTCGAGAGTGCAGGATTCTCAAAGTCCAATCCATATTACATCGTTCCGCAAGGACGAGTACGTGCTACCTAGCTCTCCCATACTCTCCTGACAGATCTTTCAGATCACTGCCCTTACAAATGCAAAGGATCACGAGCGCCTTGCCCTACTGAAAGAAGTTGCTGGCACCAAAGTCTACGAACAACGTCGTACCGAATCTCTTCGTATCATGGCCGAGACCGATGCCAAACGCACAAAGATCAATGAACTTATTGACTACATCGACTCTCGTCTTACAGAGCTAGAGGAGGAGAAGGAAGAGTTGCGCGAGTTTCAGGACAAGGACAAGGAGCGTCGGTGTCTCGAGTATGCACTGTATCAGAGAGAGTTGGAGGAGGTTGGAGAAGCTTTGGAGGAGATCGATGAAGAGAGGCGAGGAGAAGTGCACGGTGCCAACGTAAGGAGAGAGCAGTTTGATACCAGGGAGAAGGAGATACAGGTCTGTCCAACCTTCTCTCTCATTGAGTCTACTATTGACACAGCCATAGCGTCTAGAGCAACAAATCTCGCAAGCGAAACATTCTCTCCGGTCTCTCCAAATATCACGGAAAGACGCACACTCCGAGCTCAATGAATTCATCCGCGCTCGTACAGAACTCGAATGCATTGTTGCCGATCTCCGTGCAACAGGCGAGCGTGACGATAGCGCACTCAAACAAGAGCTTGCGTCCGTACAGGAAGCCACGCAGGGCAAAGAGCGCGAACTACGTGAATTGATTCCACAATGGGAGAAGGCCCGCACAAATGAAAGTGCAGAAAAGCGTAAGATGGAGGAGGCTCGTACTCAGCTTAACGCGCTCTTTGCAAAGCAAGGTCGTGTCAACCGCTTCCGCACCAAGGCCGAGCGCGATGCATACCTCAAGCAGGAAATCGCGAGTATGGAGGTATATCAACGGGCTCGTTCTACAGCGCTCGATTCCACTCGCAAAGATGCCACACAGAAAATGCAGAACGTTGCTGAGATGGAGCGGAGAATCGATAACATTCAGGGGAGCTTGGAAGATGGTAGAACGCGTGTGAAAGACATTGGGGAGCAGGTCACAACACTCAAAGTGCAGCAGACCGAACTTATTGAGCGCAGGAAGGAGTTGTGGCGTGAGGACACCAAGTTGGATGGGCTACTTGCGCATGCCGGTGACGAGTTGAGGGCCGCTGAGCGCAACCTTGCGGGTATGATGGACAAAGTGAGTATGCGCGCCCTCGATTGATGAATATTCGTTTATTGTTATAGGACACTGGCTCTGGTCTCCGCGCCGTTGACAGGATCGCAGAACGACACAACCTGGAGGGTGTATATGGTCCATTGTACCGTCTTTTCGAGATACCAGACTCGACATTTAGCACCGCTATCGAACTTACCGCTGGGAACAGGTACACCGCCCCATTTGCATCAATCTCTACTTATGCTTACGCCTGACAGTCTCTTCCACGTCGTAGTCGATACCGATGCAACTGCACAGAAGGTCCTCGACATCATGCTACGAGAAAAGAACGGCCGTGTAACCTTCATGCCTCTCAACCGCCTCAAACCCAAACAGCCCACCATCCCTCCAAATCAAGACGCCCTTCCTCTCCTCGAGAAGCTCTCGTATGATTCTGCGCATGGCAAGGCATTCCAGCAGGTGTTTGGAAAGACTTGGGTATGCCGCGACCTTACGGTTGCTGCTGCGTATGTCAAGAGTCATGGTGTTAACACCATCACGCTGGACGGTGATAAGGTTGATCGTAAGGGTGCTCTTACAGGTGGTTACCACGACGTGCGCCGCTCGCGCATTGAAGCCGTTAAGAATGTAGCGACATGGCGCTCCAAGTTTGAGGCGGAAGATAAGCGTGCCAAAGAAGTTAAAGCTGCCATCACCACGCTTGAGCAGGAGATCACGAAGGTGACTGGGAAGATCCAAGTCCTTAGCGTTCAGCAGGCGCAAGCAAAAGAAGCACGCGAGGTCCTCCTTTCGGACTCGCTATCGTTCTCAAGGGAGCGCGAGAGATTGAGCGAGGGTGTCGTGGCTTTGGAAAATGAAGCGGATGAATTAGAGACGGAACTGAGCGGCATTGTACAGCGGCTACAGGGGTACCGCACTGAGCTTGCGAGCCCCCTTACACGGGCACTGACTGATGACGAAGCCAATCTGATCGATACTCTTGGTCAACAAGTGGATGAAAGGCGCAAGCGAGTGCTCGAGCTGAGCAAATCGAGAATAGAAGTAGGTGCACTAGCAAACTCCATTCTGGACCACACAGCTTATATCACGCATAGCTTGATAGCCGTAAAAACCTCTTGGAAATCGAGCTTAATGAAAGCCTCCGGCGGAAAGAGAACGAGCTGCAGGCAACATTGCAGTCATTGGGTGACTCGGCGAATGGAGAAGTGTCATCTGCCGATAATCTGGATGCGCGATTGCGTGAACTCAAGTCCCTCGATGCTTCTATATCCACTTCGACAAAGCGCGCACAAGGTTCGCTCCTGATTAGTTCATTGTGTCCGCGTATACCAAATGTATTCTCACAGAGGCAGAAAAGGATTTTGATAAATTGACGGCTGACCTACAGGAACTTCGATCCAACTTGGAGAAGGCCCAGAATCAACAATCGGAAGACAGTCGCAGTGTCACGAAACTGCAGAAGAATACTGAGCGGTACCTAGCTAAGAAACAGATGCTTGTGGGTCGTAAGGAGGAGTGCAACCGCAATATCCGAGATCTAGGCGTACTTCCAGAGGAAGCTTTTGAGAAGTATACCAACGAAAAACTTGATCGAGTACGGGTTTACCAGCTGTTCATCTCCGAACTCTGTATGCTAATAGTCCAACCACTTAGCTGGTGAAGAAACTGCACACTGTCAACGAAGGGTTGAAGAAGTTCGCGCATGTGAACAAAAAGGCTTTCGAACAGTATAACTCTTTCACAAAACAGCGAGACCAACTCCTGCAGCGCAGGGAAGATCTAGACAAGTCGGCCACGTCGATCGAGGAGTTAGTACAAGTACTGGACCAGCGAAAGGATGAAGCGATCGAGCGGACATTCAAACAAGTCGCCAGCAATTTTGAAGAGGTCTTCGACAAACTCGTTCCTGCCGGCCGTGGGCGGTTGATCATTCAGCGTCGGATAGACCAGGTGAATAGGACAATTATGCGTCAAATAACTTTGCTTAATCCGCTACAGGATGAAGATGAAGCTATGGACGAAGGAGATGATACACAGCAAAGTAGCATTGACAATTACACTGGCATATCGATAAAGGCAATTGTTTTACGACTGCTGTGCTATTTCTACTTAATGTATGGTATGATAGGTATCCTTCAACTCCAAGGTCGATGAAGGACTTCGGATACAGCAGCTATCAGGGGGTCAAAAATCCCTTGTCGCACTCGCAACAGGTAACTGTATTTCTGTTAGAGACAACCACGTTTTTGAGCTTTTCCCTCCAGTTTTCGCCATCCAGAAATGTGATCCAGCTCCTTTCTACTTATTTGATGAGGTGCGTTGAAACAATTACACTGGATATGCCGCTAGTTTACGTTGTTTCGCGTAGATCGACGCAAATCTGGACGCGCAGTATCGAACTGCTGTCGCAAGTAAGTGCCCTGTGGCACATCACAGATCGATGCTGATCCCTGTCCAGACATGATCAAATCTCTTTCACATTCAGCTCAGTTCATTACGACTACTTTCAGGCCAGAGATGTTGGTCACTGCGGACAAGTTTTATGGTGTGCTCTTCAACAACCAGAAAGTCAGTTCCATCAGAAGCATCAAGCGAGAGGAGGCCATGGAGTTCGTGGACCAGGTTTGTCCTTTGTTTTCTGCTTGTCGGATTGTAACCAGTATTTTTCTAGGAGGCCCAAGCTCAATAATTATTCACATAACTCTGCGTCGCCCAAACGTCAAACGAAGGGTTCTCTTACCATACGCTATATGATATTTCTTCGCTTTTCGTGTTTTCGCAATTATCCTGTACTAGAGATGAGACCCTGTCAGAATTTTCAGCTCAGCGTTCGATTTCACCTCTCCAGCTGCATCTGTCCCAGGTTTGTATCGTTTGGAGATATGTAAGAGCGCACTGGTGTGTGTCTATGACTTGAGCAAAGTAAGCATTGAGTGTCGCCTCCCTTAGAGGTAACACTTATTTCATTAGTAGAGAAAGAGCCATTTTGATTTCCAATGCCCAATGTAACACCTGTGTCTTGTGCAATTCGTAAGGCAACGCCGGACAGCTCCTGGCTCGTATATGCTACTTGAATGGATCGAATAAAACCTTCCCGCATTTCCCTTTGTCAAAGTCGTCATATATCTGCACTGCATCATCTAAACTCGCTATTTTCTCCACCAAGCTCGTTTCCCCACCCACCGATCCCAGTACATCCTGCCTTTTCAGGAGTAGTTCCAGTGCCATTGGGAACATAGCACGCACTGGACACCGACCAAAGTCAAGTGATACATTCTTGTCGTAAAGCTCAACCCCTTTATACGGCACAATATGATCACTGTGAACCCCAACAGAATTGATACAGCCAAACGGCCGTACAAGTTCGTAAGCTAGCCGAAGCGCACTGGTATTACCAACAACCTTTGAGTGATGATTTAAGTCAAGGTCTACAGCAGGTTGCATGGAGCTCACTTCTAGAACAGCGTTGCAACCGAATCCCTTGGTCAAATTTGCAACAAGTTCTTTGACATTGTTGGTGTCAGCTACTTGAAATGCACCAAACTGGTAGTTGCCGCCGATAGTTGAGTATATTGATGCCATTTTTGCCCTCCTGGCTTCGTTCGGGTCAATGGCTATCACATTGAACTTCAGCTTTCGCGTGACGAGCATGTCAAGGAGAGCGATACACGCGCACTAGTGAGGGCATGACGACCATATCAAAACAGGTAAGCACAGTGAACTCACCACCCCCACGGGGCCAAGCCCTATCACCGCCATAGTCAATGATTTATCTTCTTCTAAGAAGGGTAAAAATGAAGCATCTCCAATCTGTGGCGGACTCGCACTAAGCGGATAAGGTTGTCTGGTTGTAAAGGGTAAGGTTTTGGCGTGACTGAGTGCCTGAAATGCGGCAAATACTCCAGTCGGAAGAATATCGCACAGTAACAGCAAAGAGGAGTCGGCAAGTGAAGATCCATCAGGAATGTCCTGCAGACTGTACAAGGTGCCTCCGGCCCGAGGAACGCGAACATATTGAGCTTGTCCTCCTGGAGTCAGAGGAGTGCCAAATAGGCGGGACTCGATGCAACGGGACGTAAATCCTACTCTGCAAAAACTGCAGCACATGAGAGCACATGTGAATACTAGTTGATGCTGGAGAAACAAAACTGACGTACTGGCACTCTCCACAAGAGACAGTAAACGGCGAGACAATCTTATCGCCGATATGAAGTGTGGAATACAAGTGCGGTCGACCTGTAGAGCTGGGATGAAAACTCGCACCGAGGGCAACAATTTCACCGATGAACTCGTGGCCCATGATGCAACTGCCAACAAAACATGTCTATTGAGTTCAGAAGGCACACTGATAATGATTGGATTTATTTACGGTTCCGTGAGCCCCGCTGTTCCACGGTACATATGTAAATCACTACCACACAGCCCAGCAAGCTTTGGGTGCGTGCATTAAAACTCAAGAGCTGATGAAGTCTGCTGCACATCTGCGAACCTGAATCTTTACTATCGCATCATCTGGGTGCTCAATCCTTGGAACAAAATGCAACTCAGTGCGATCCTATGATGCCACAAGCGAGAAATCAACATACTTTGGAATGGGAAGGGTTTCAATACGGATATCATGAGAGGGCGGGTGCCACCGCACAGCACGTTGTGAAGTCACAGAAGTCATGAGAGTCTTGTTGGATTTCACCACTGCACAGTTGGACAAATTATGCTGTGGTCAGGCTGATGGAAACTGATAATGATTATTTGTGGCTTAGTATGCGCCAAAAACTAAAGGAATAATATATAGGCTAGCAGAACACCTCATGACTCTCACCGGGTCACTTGATGTTGCTGGAACATGGACGTCTAGACTCGTGATCTCACCGAGCTGTGCATGTGAGCGACCGGAATGTCCCGTGCCGCCATCATTCCAGCGTGCACAAACTCCGACTTGTGTTCTTCGTGTATTCATCGGGCTCGTTCAATTTCATTATTTCATACTAGGTCTAGACACATGTTCTGTTACTGTAACTACTATCAATCAACTGTTTTTGCTATGGTCTGTGTGATTTCTCTTCTCTTTCTTCGTCGAATTAATTTCATTTAATTTTCGACTGAACCGTGCACATCGCCCTGTGTCACAATATAGCTACGCCACTGGACCATAGTAAGCCGGGCTGATCTTGAACCTAGCTGGAGCCTACGAATATCAGGATGAACGTCATACATGCACGTACAACTCAGTCGAATAGCCGGTGGTCAAGCGAATGACCGATAAGTTTGGAACGAATGTATGAGAAGTTCTGACGAGGTTTCAGCAAGTTGCACAATAACTCTTATTTCGGTATGTGGTTGTAAATAGAGCCGTAGTACGGTAATTAACTATCTCTTGTATAATTTCAAAAAAAAGAAATTATAATAGAGAGCGCAAGACGTACGTGCATGATAATCAAGACCAAGCATTTCACTCGGTCGGGGCGTGAAAATTTGTAGCTATCGATAAGAAACGCTTTATGACCGACTTTCCCCTAGATAAATTATCCAGAGAAATGCGTTCATTAGGCAGATGAGCTTGGTCCTTGATTGCTGGTAATCAGCTTCAAGGAATAATACAACAGTCAAGACTGGACGTACGGTGCTTTGTCCTAGTGGGAGGTGAAGTGCTGGGCAGCCAAATTCTTTCTCTAGATAAGGAATCGATGGGATGGACTTCATGAGCAGTGAGTAAGAGGAAGCCTGATCCACGCAAATCACTCACGCCACCCTCTCGGATGAGTAATGGTTCTACATTCCATTCATCGTGCACAGCAGCCTTGAGTGCTTTGAACCAGGGGCCATCCAAATTGCCCAGCCACCAATCGGCCGTGCGGTCAATGCTCACCTACGAGATATTGTGAGCTGTAGAATCATGGACATCATGTATCACACACAGAAAGCTGGTTAGGTGATTGGGATTTGTCGAAGGTCCCTCTAAGGTGATTAACCAAAGACTGAGCAATGGTTTGCAAATCCTGATCTGGAACAATGCGGAGGGACACCTTCGCAGTGACCTTTCCCGGGATTACAGTCGAGTCTTGGGATGATCAGTAACATTCAAGTAAGAGTGAAATGCCTGACTTACTCCTAGGTCCAGATACGTCTATATCATGTACAGTCAAGGACGGCTCACTCCATCGCGAAGATAGCACAGAGCCAGGCGTTTGGGTCACATTGGACAAAACATCGTACAATTGCTTTTCGGCCTCGGTCTGATGGCGAACAGGGTTGTCTGTAACGTCATATCAGCCTGGCCAACCAAAATCGATGCGCAGTGAATGTGACGAACAAAAGTTTGGTATAGCCACCTTTCCCTCACCATCCATCAGAGTTCCGAGAAGGCGAATCCTGATATTAACGTGAGTCCGGAACTGACTATTGGGGCTTCTTTAACCTACATATCAAACATTGGCTCCGGGGCAGCACCTCCTTCGACACCAGAGTGCAAGTCCGGTACACCACTTGTTATCTGCACTACATGTCAGCTTGAGGTACCGTAATAGCGAAAATTCGTACCTCCACTGTTGAGTGTACGACACCGCGAAGACCATATGTAATACAAGGATGATGTTCAGAAATCCAGGTTGAGTTACTACCGCAAATGAATAAAAAGGAAAGGAGATGATCGATACTCACATACCTGAGTAAGATGGCATCTATGTTCCCGATCAGGTGCTGAAAAATAACGGAAATGAGCGTGGTCGTGTGAGCGTAACATGACGCGATCCCACTTTGTGTTCTTTTATTGCATCAACAAATCCAACACTGCCAGTCTCCTCCTCACCCTCGATAAGAAAAACAAGATCAATGCCAAGAGCGCGGTCTTGAAGAAGTTCGGCAGCAGCGCAAGCCACAGCCATAATAGGGCCCTTATTATCCGTCACCCCTCGTCCATACAGATAACCGTTACGGCCTGTCACAGCGAAGGGATCAGTATCCCACCCATCCGGAGGAGCAGAAATGACGTCGTAGTGCCTGTTGTTTAAATCATGAGGGGGCATAAGACTTATGAAACAGATGTAGTACCCGTAAAATAGGATTCTTGGCTTTGGATGTTTCCCTTCAGTTCCATGAAAAGTCCCTAGAACAAGGGGACTTCCGGCTTCACGCGTAGGTAGCTGAGATGCTATACATAAGCAAAAAATGCTGGGACGAAACGAGTAAATTTACCAGAGTCGACTGAGCACCTAGCTGATTCAAGCCCTTCTTCAGCCAAATTGCGGCTTGACGACAGTCTTCTCTATGATTCGGGTCGCTGCTTACACTCGGTATTGACACGAACTTGGAGAGTGCGTAAGTCATTGTATCTCCTATAAAATTGAGTGATTGAGGGGCATAGGATCGCAACATGACATGCCTTGGGTAACATCCGAATCGGATATCAACGCGCTGGTCTCATGCAACTGGGAAAGGTTGTCCTTGGCTTCTGGAGTAATTGCCCAAACCTGCAGGTTATCAGTATTCATAAGTCATCAACAAACACTACGGCACAACACCTTAACGAAACCATCGTTCGCCCCAGTAATGAGACAAAACGACTTGCGATCAGAGGAACAGGAGACAACAGAGGAGAGCACAATACCGTCGTGAGCTTCCCACGACGCTGTGCAATCAAACGAAGAAGACCATCTCTGTCAGGTACAAAGGTGATTCAGGTGGCGACGAAAAAAGTAACCTTCCACGCCTACATGAATGTGACCATTGGCAGAGCATGTGTAAAGATCAGACTGCATGATCGATAGCGAAAGGACGTCGACATTCTGGTATACAAATATGAGGTTCCGCACTAAAATATACATGGATGCGCCTACTTCTTGAACAATGATCGATCTAACAAGAGTCCGTGTTTCGAAGTCAAGCACCTTCACGTGCCCATCTTGGCATCCAGCATATATTGTCTCCCCGGAAGCGACGATCGAAAGCACAGCACCATGCTGACAGTCGAAAGAGTGCATCATGTTGAGACCGGATGGGTTGCAGTGCCAAATCTATCAACAGTACGAAGTCGGCTGACGTATCTCTTAACTTGAGATGAGACAAACCTTGACGGTTTCATCCCCACTTCCAGTGACGAGATAATAATTCTGCGCCGGCTTTTGTGCAAGGTATCCTGTGCCTTCCCTTGTCGAAGGCAAAAGAGCCATGCAATATATGTAGCCAAAATGAGCAGAGTCGATGACATTTGCTGCTGAGATATTTATCAAAGCGTTGGTCCCGACGAATGCGCCCTGACTGATTGAGGAAGACAAGCTGAAGTTGTTGGCTTGAAGATCCGCAGGGCGATGGGTGTATTGTGGATAACTATCGAAGAATTTGTGGACTTTACGAGTTGGAGTTGATGTGCCTGAGCCCCATTGCTCTTCCACGTGTCGGTCAAGCTGAAGCTTACAGAACCCTTGCCATTGAAGTGAAGTGTTCTGACAACCAATGTAGATGATCTGCATTGCGGGGTTCCAAGCGAGAGAGAATAAATCGCCTGCTCCCGTTTCAAGGTATGGATTCAGGATGTAGACCGGAAGAAAGGTTACTGTGGACCATACCTGACTTCCGTCAGTGGAAGCCGACTTATCAAAGGATATAGACATACTCTGACAGTACTGTCACCTAGTCATGGTGCTAAGAAGACGATAAATGGAAGTATTCGGAGAAGACCTACCTGAAGCACTAAAAAGCCAGCCTTTCTCCTCCGCATGCTCAAGGGCCAGTATGCTTCCGGTATGACCACGAAGGGAAGTCTTGAGCGTAAACTTGTGTCTGTCCCAGACCTTGGATAGCATGGCCATTAGAATAATGACTTGATCAGTAAGCCCTGGCACACACCGCAATATCTTGACCTTGACCACCAGTAAAGATATGGTCCGCATTTGCCATTAAACTGAGGACAGATTTACTTTCATCTCCAAGAGAGTGTAGCAAGCGAGGAAGCGGCGCAGCTGAGTTGATAGGACGGCTAACGGACGCTTGTCCATCATGTGGAATGTCAGGATTAGTCGAGAGTGACATGGTGGAGTAAACGTACGATGGGGAACTACTGTTGTGCTGGCACCGCTGGCCTGAGGTAGCGATACATTTGCCATTATAAGACAGATGCCCCCGCTCAAGTGCCGACACTGCCAATGCTCCTTAAGTCAAAAAATGAATTGGGTCTAATGGAAGCTGTTGAACAGACAAAATAATGAAAGCTGTCTTGTGAAAATAGCGAATTGTATCATATACATACCTTAGCTCGCCTTCAATATTCGGGCTGGCGCTGATCGCGTGGCCGCGCCGTACACTGGGGACTATGAGGGATATCACATTCTGACTCGATTTGTACTTATATCATTACTCTTAGCTTTACGTTAGCTGACTTACCACGGCTTTTTACCGGAATCTTCACTGCCAGCAGCACCTTTGACGCCAAATCCTATGGCATCAGATAGAGCCAAAATAGCGAAAGATCAGGTAAGTTTGTCGTCAACATTGCTCGTTTCAGGCGTTATCCTCTTACGGCTTCCGCTCTACAGGGCAATGCAGCCTTCAAGACGGGCGATTACCCAGCTGCGATCGGCCATTATACGTCCGCAATTCTTGCGAATGCCGATGACCCGACATTTCCTCTCAACCGCGCAGCAGCGTACTTGAAACTAGGCAAGTACGTTCATTTTGTTATATATCACTCATAAGTCTGCCACCAATTAACCAACCTGTGGGTTTATAGGAATGAGGATGCAGAACGAGATTGTACGACCGTTTTGAAGCTGAGCCCTAACAATGTAAAAGCTCTATTTCGGAGAGGTCAGGCTCGAATGGCTCTTGGTTGTTTGGATCAAGCCCGTGCAGGGGAGTACAATATCTTCCACGCAGAAATAATAAAGAATTTCAACATTCGTCTCATAGATTTCGTGGGGGCATCCGAATTGGAACCCTCAAATCAGTCCGTGAAGCAGGAGCTTTCAGAAGTCGAGAAATCAATTCAACAGCAAAAGCAAAAGCATGACAGTGCAGTGAGTACTGCAAATATTACAAGCCGTGATTGTTGAAGCAACCTCTGACCCACAGAATACCCCTCGCCCAATAACTGTACCGTCAGGGGCTACCTCAGCGATAAAGCGGAGGCGCGTTCCAATAGAGATCGTCGAGGAAGCGTCTAGAGTGTCGCATCATCATGGTGCAGAGATAGCAGTAGAAGATGCTGAAGAGCAGCTTCAAGGTCTCGGAGATCATGGGTTGCTACAGCCGATTTCTTCCCGAGCGTTACCTCGGAGTAATGAACCCAGTTCATCAAGCATCAAACCAGATCAGAGCACTATGTCACCTCTACCGAAGCAAATTACTTCAGCAAACACAGAAAGTTTCAAAGACGCAAAGCAGTTACGGGACACTGCAAAGCCATCACGCATCGGTGGGGGGGTATTTCGACCATCTGGCAACCACACAGTGTTTGCTAGGGATGATAAATTGTCCGGCGCGGCTCCAGTAACAACCTCGCTTCCAGCCTTGGTCAACACTGTCTCACAAGCTCCTATGACTCTTTTTAACTTCACGAAGATGTGGGAGTCTCGTATGAAAGACGAGGATCGTTGGAACATCCTCTCTGTATGTAATTTGATCTCTGCGCACCACGTTTCTAACCTGAATTGTTCAGAGAATACCACCATTGTCCCTTCCTAAGATGTTCCAGGCATCGCTGGAACCAGTTTTGCTTTCATCAATACTTCAACATTTTGCACGAGTCATAGATCTACAAATCGCGGCTCCTAGTGATGTGCGTGAATACTTGGTGTCGTTATCAAAAGTCCAGCGGTTTGGCACGATTATGCTATTCATGAACAAGAAGGAGAAAATACTCTTAAAGGGGCTTTGGGAGACATGTGGAAAGCTTGATATATAACCTAATTGTTGCGCAAAATTAATAGTCACAGCGTCGATGCACTGGCATACATGTAGGTATTATTCCAACGTGGCTTTGTGATAGTGCTGAGAAACTAGTACTTGACCAAGCTCGAGTATGTATATCATAGGGCACTGGGTTCAGTGTTCTATGGACTACTTAGTGGGCAAGGCATATAAACAAATGTCCTTAATTAAACGGACTTAGTAATGGTATCCCCTTTCAGCAACTCTGCGTCATCGATCGGATTTCGTTAGTAAGTTGAACAGCCCGTTGCAACTTCAACTTGTCAGCCCGAAGTTCTTCAAGTTCATCTTCGACTGTCATTCCAGCTTTGATAGGGCACGATATGCCAGATACACTTCCAAATGGGACCCCCGAGGAATCTGTGCCACCAGCAGCTATAATATCAACACCTGTGAGCGACGATCGAGCACAATCACTTGAGGCGTTCAAGGCAAAGCTCCGAAACGCAGGATTGTACCAGCCTGCCTCCAATGACACAGCTGCATCTCACGATGACATAACTTTACTGTACGTTCCAGTCTTTGAATACGCTGTGTCATTGAGTTCGATTCAGGCTTACGTTGTCTCGGCAGGCGTTTCCTACGAGCCCGGCGGTATGACGTAGACAAAGCACAAAAGCAGTTTTCTGACACAGAAGCGTGGCGCAAACAACATAACGTTGACGAGCTATTTCGTACCTTTGAGGCTAACGAGATGGAATCAGCCAGGAGGTTCTACCCTCGATGGACAGGTCGTCGCGACAAGGTCAGATGGAATTTACTTCGGTCATCGGCAATCCAACGATAACATCATTTGGTCCACAGGCTGGCCTGCCGGTCTATGTATACCGTCTTGCTTCCTTAGATGCGCCGCTGCGGAAGGAACTCGAGTCTGTGCCTTCAGACCGCCGATACCAGCGAATGTCAGTACGTATTCAAATTACCACACATCGTTAGCTGAAGCGGCAGCTGTAGTGTTGTACTTTACGAGGCGATGACGCGCTTTGTACTGCCGTTATGCTCTCATCTCGCTGCACCAACACCAGTATCATCGGTGACTACTATAATTGATTTGGAGCAGGTATCCTTATCTGCCATGTGGTCTCTACGAAGCCATCTTCAGGTGGCCTCTACGATGGCTACGGCGAATTATCCAGAGACCCTCAGTACAATCGCTATTGTGAACTCGCCATCTTTCTTTCCTACAATATGGAACTGGATCAAGGTCTTTCACAAGTATGTATGTTTGTGTTCTTTCAATGCTGACCTTCTTCCACAGACCTGGTTCGACGAAGGCACTCGCAACAAAATCCACATCTTGGGCAAAGATCCGGGTCCTACTTTGAGATTGCTGATCGATGAGAGGGATATTCCACAGTCGTATGGTGGACAACTGCCATGGAAGTTTGAAGATGACCCAGACCTGGATGATGCTATTAAAAAAGCTATTGGTGAGATGCCCAAGGGTCCTGTACTTTTTGTAGACGGTTCCACGGTGAAAATCTTAGGTTAGTTCTTCGCCAGAATACATCTATGAATTATAAGTCATCTCGTGACATTGCTATGTTACATTACAATTGGGAATGTGTACGATGATATTTATGTAAAATAAGTCGATAATGAGCGGCTACGAGCAGTAAAAACACATCTATGCATCGTCATCTTCCGGTTCCGCAGTGACACCATCCTCATTCCAAACTTCAATAAACTAGAGATAACCGTCAGCCTTATAAGGAGTAAAGTGGAAGAAGACTCACCGTCTGCCTGTGAACCGTCAGGTCGTGCTCGTGAACGAGAGAAGTAGTGGCATAAGGGAGGCGGGTCCACGTAATTGGAAGTTGGTGACGTCTGATAGCAGGTTTATCACCGATAGCGCTCTTCTTGCCGAGCACAAATTTAGAACATTTCCTGAGAGGAAAAGAAAGATTAGTAGAATGGATGGATCTCTGTACAAAAGACCCACTCTTCTGAAAGCCCGTAAAGAGACTTGAGATGGGCTTTAAGAAGCATGGCAATCCCGATAGTTATTGAGCTTCTCATGATAGCAACGTCGACGTGGGACATTTCAGATGGGGCAGAGGAAAATGGAGCATTTGGGGTTTCCTGATCAATTGAACGCGTAAGAAAGTCAGACATTGGTGGCTGGTGAGGTGCATTATGGAGAGGTCGAGTATCATGCAGCTGCGCTAGGAGATGAGAAGGCGATAGAAGGTCGATCACTTGCATGCCAGCGGTCGATAATACGGAAGTCAAGTGTTTAATAACAGTGATGACTTCCTCCTGTGTTCTGTAGTCAAGAGAGGCAAAATTCTCTGCCATGTATCTTGCGAAGTCAACGTCATCCTAGTTTCCCGTGAGCATTATGAAACGGTACAAGGTAATACATTACCTGTGATGATTTCAAAGAAGGGTTGATATCAAAAGATTTTAGGAGAGCTCTCAGGAAGTCTTGACGAGAGGCTCTTTTCTCCCGCACGAGAGAATACCACCTCTGAAGCAATGCCGCTGGTTCTACTTGCAATCGATAACCTACACTAACGTTCAGGACACGTTACAACAAATAGTGAGTTCAAACCTTTGACGGCATCTGTGGAGATCTTTTTCTGGTAGTCGAACGACTGTCTTGCACTAATGATGTATCGAGCATTCAACAAAGACGCGTGTTTGCTCCAGAGTATTGCGTGGAGTGCATTAGCCCGTGAGCTGATGGCGTTATTTGGACAAGTTTCCAATGCAACAATGACAGGGAAGGACTACCGAAACTGCGGTCAATGAACAATCGTAAGAAGACTAAAGCACGTACTTGCAACGGATGAGCGAGACCCTGTTTGATGGTGAAGCTGAGAATGTCAACAGCAACATTCTGGATTTGAGAGTTTTGAGACAGGGCTGCGTCCAAGATTGAAGATATGTATCGTTGAACAACGGCTGAGCTGACACTGTATCTTTATTAGTAGATCCTTGCGAGAACGATTGTTTGATCTACCCGGAGTCAGCAAAACCATCTGTGTTCCCTACCAATTCCGCCATATCTACTACCCCGCCTTGCTTGGCTTTGGTGCCTCCTGCGGAAAATAAGTATAGTGCAAGGGCACAAAATACGACCCCAACCTTTCTGCTCCTCATGGTGCTTCATAGATTCGGACACTAAGAAGTCGTGCATG